AAACGGGCTTCCATTAGGTGCAGACAACCTGCAAAAGAAAAATAAAATGAAATATTCTTCTGTTCATAATTCACAAGAATATAACATTTTGGATATAAATTCAATAAATACTGAATAATGGAAGCACTATGCAGTAAGAATAAATGTGTGTGATTGTCCAGATTGTCGACACATCTCCTTTGCAGCGGTTGTAGTCTGTGATGATGATCACTGGCTTCTTTTTCTCTGTCACTCGGAGCTGAGGAGCAGCACATTCTTCCCACGTTTTGGTAAATAAGACACCGCTGTGCAGTGCTTAATTTGTAAATGAACAATTGCCGGATCCAAAACAGCCATTAAAAGCCACCGTGACCGATAACATTCAATGACGTCACTAAACGGTGATGCCACAACTATAAGAGCATCCTTCACAAGTCTCTGCATGGACCTAACTACAGCCTGGGGCACAGGTTTTCAAACCCTGGGTCAAAAATGGGTCGCCAGGATGATTTAAGGAAAATGTAAATGTAAGATACATTAAAAAATAACAACATTTAACAGAATGTGCATCCTCTTTGTTTGCATTATTTTACAAAAACACAAATGTTGTTTTTATTGTGAGCGTGCAAAAATAAAAGTAAACACTTTGCGGTTTCGAATGATGTCTTACTCTTATCTGTATGATCAAAAATTGAATATTTTATGTTTCACCTGTTTGATCGAGCCGGCACCACACACACACACACCACATTCTAGCACTTCCAACTTGCCATCGCAGTCTGCTCTTTATCAAAATAAAATACTGTCACATAAAAGGTTACACTGGTCAATTTAAAGAGTCCGTAGTATAACCGGTCCAACTCTGCTGTTATGCCAAGCACATTTTTGCACATGTGAAGAGGATTATTTTTTCTGTCGATATATGAAAGCACGTGAAGTACAAAGCCTAGGCTACATTATAAATAATCGTTTAACATTCAAATACATTGCAAATATGGAAACATTTGGATTTGTGCGAATGAGAGAGATACGTGAGCCCAACACCTGGTGCTTTTCATTCTTGATCTGTTCTGCATACCGTTACATTTGTTTTGGAGTGAGGGGAACTAACGTATAGCTAAGTTTATAGTGTTTATAATGTTTATACATTATAATATTTCACTTTATTTGGTATTATTACACACTCTCTGCAAACGTTCTGCTGCTCACAAAAAAAATAAAAATAAAAAATATTGTTTTTGTGAGCAGCGGAACTTTTGCAGAGAGTGGGTTAAGCAGTAAGCACCAAGAGCAATTTTTAATTTAAGAAAACTGATTGGTCAAAAATATGTTGTAATTAATGACTTTCATTTTTGGGTGAACTAACCCTTTAACAAATATTAAATGATTTGCGTTTTGGAAATTTCCATTTTACATCACTCTTTTTCAAGGTTAAACTTACACTTTGCGCTGGCATTCACGCTCTGCTTCTGTGAACAGAAAACATCGGCTACTTTGATTTGATTGGCCATCTGAATTATTTTGACATTGACGAGTGTTGTTAGCCACACGCATCTGTACAGTCATGGCCAAAAGTTTTGGCAGTGACATAAATTTTGTGTTTTGCAAAGTTTGGTGCTTCAGTATTTGTAGATTATTTTTCCACGTGTTTCTATGGTATACTGAAAAACAATGATAAGCATATAATGCGTTTTAAAGGCTTTTATTGGCAAAAAAATATGAGTCAATATTTACAGTGTTGACCCTTGTTCTTCATAACCTCCGCAATTCGCTCTGGCATGCTGGATATTAGCTTCTGGGCCAAATCTCCTGAAGACTTCTTCACTGCAGTCGAACCTCTCTCCTTGAAACTTCTTCACTGCAGTCGAACCTCTCTCCTTGAAGTTCTTGATGATCCGGTAAATGGTTCTTTCAGATGCAATATTCTTTGTAGCAATTTCCTTGCATGTGAGGCCATTTTGATGCAAAGCGATGATGGCTGCACGTGTTTCTTTGGAG